GGAAATTACAAAGGTGCTTGCTTAAGAGTCACAGCAGAGGAACCAGAATGATGGTACAGCGGTCGGCCTTGCATAAGGCCAACCAGCATTTGCGCCACAGCATCCCTTATCATCCCTCAAACTCTGTCAGAAATAACTACTGAGTGCAGAGTCAGGAGTAAACCCTGAACATTTCCTGGTTTGACCCAAACCCCCCTTCCCTCCCAAACAAGGATTCAGAGTAGATTTGTCAATTGAGACCCTGCATATTTGAATATAATGGTGGAATATAGTGAAAAACAAAACCCAATTATATGAACACTTCATTAAGAATACTCTACCCAGACAGGCTGGAGCGATAGCACAGCGGGTAGGGCGTTCGCCTTACAAGCGGCCAACATGGCCGACCCGAGTTCGATTCCTCCGCCGCCCCTCTCGGAGAGCCCGGCAAGCTACCGAGAGTATTCGATATGCCAGACACAGTAACAACAAAGTCTCCAATGGAGACGTTACTGGGCCCGCTCGAGCAAATCGACGATCAACGGGAGGGCCTTTACCTTTACCTTTACCCAGACAGACTGTCATTCAGATTTGAAAGGACAATATAGAGTTGATGGATAAGCAGCTCAAGAACTTCATAGTCTCTTCCCAGGGTGGTGAAAATTTTGGAAATATATACAGTGATTATTACAAAACTTTAAATATATGTTGAAGTAAACTGAATGTGGTAAAAGATTAAATATTATGGAATATGAATTGCTTCTAATGTACAAATACGTGTACTAATTTTATCAATCATTATAAATTTCATAAACAGATTTTTTCAGATGATATGGAAAACTTATCTCAAACTAAATGACAAAAAATCCACAGGTATGTCCATTAAATTAAGATAAAATATGTTCTTTTTTACAATGCTTATTTAACATTGTTATGAAAATTGCACTTAATAAATTATGCCAAAGTGTTACATAGAATGGACAAAAAGCTAGATTTTCAAGAATTCCAATGTGCCTATCTTGCAAGCTTGTAAGTCAATTAAGAAACATAAAATTAGAGGTAAAGCATATAGGAAGGATGTGAAAGTGCTGGAGTGATAATCTGGGAGATAAGGCACTTGCCTTACATGAAGCTATATGCATAGTGACCCTGTTTCAAATCCTTGGCAGTACATACTGTCTTGTGAGCACTGCCAGGGGACAGTCCTGAGCACAGAGTCAGTAATGGCTTCCGAACACTGCCAGGTATGGCCAAACACCTGAAACCATCCAAAGGAAGGATGAAAAAACATTTGTTGTGTATTAAATGTGACTAGTAATAATGAAGTAATATGTAAACTATTTTATTCATTAGATAAACATTTGTGAAAATATTGCAAGTACAATGAAATGGTAAAATGATTTGTCAAATTAAATTTTTCTTGTAATTTATAGTATATTTAGCTCTTCATATCCAGAAAGTATGACTTTTGCCATAAAAATTTAATAAACTATTCAAACATTGTCTCTTTGGAGACCTTCTCCATTCACATTTGTGGCCTTGCAGACCACCCTTGAAAAACCCTATTTCTTAACATTTTAATTCTTGGTTCTTCTGAAATAAAAAGGCTTTGATTTTTAAGAACATTTGATAATGGAAGAGAACTCAGCCAACTCCAGATAGTTAAACTGCAAAACTGTGTGTGTGTGTGTGTGTGTGTGTGTGTGTGTGTGTGTGTGTTTGTGTGGTGTCCTCATTTCTTATAAAGGTTGAAAGCTGTATGTGAGAAAAAAAATTTGGGAGAGAACTTTTATGGGAGTTAGATGAGAAAAAGGATAATGACTATGAACAAGGCTCTGCAGGTCCAAGGAGAAGTATTACAGATGTCTGAAGAAAAGGTGAGAAAGGCAGATAGGAGACAGGAGGGAAAAAATGGCTGTGGTAAGAGTTATGCATTGGCAGGGAAATATTATATCATAAAGAGGTCCTGGTAAAAGGCTACAAGGCAAAAGAGGAGGGTTTCTATCAAATTTTTGTAAGAATATTGAGTGATTGTCCTTTCCACAGGAATCAGCAACCTCTTCACAGAATAGGTGCTTAGGAATGGATTCTGTTATAGATTAAATTGTGACTTCATATTGAAATCCCAAACTCTATCTCGTGGGGACTATATGAAGGCTAAACCTCCATTTCTTACTATATTTTGGATTTATGGCTATATCTGTTGGTATTCAGGCATCACTCCTGGTGATACTCTCAGGGGACCATCTGCAGTGCCAAGGATCAGAATTGGGGTTGGACAAAACCTGCAAGGAAAGAACTTTTGTCTCTGTGTTAGGAGATAGATACTTTTAACAGGTAAATTAATTTGATTTTTAAGAAGTAAAGTCACTAAGGTGTTCCTTAATCCAAAATGACTAGTGTGACTACAACGAGAAGAGGAAGACATGGCATACAGGCAGAGGGCCATGTGAAGGCACATGGATAAGATGGTCCTCTACCTGCCAAGGATAGAGCTAAAATAATTCACCCTGATAACACCTAAATCTCCAGTTGATCTCTGGTTGACCATGGTCTAATGGAACTGTGATACAACAAATGTCTTTAAGTCACTGGTCTACGGTATCATTGTTAGTTGAGCAATTTGATATAGATACTGGAGAAGGTCTTTGGTTTCAAGTGGGGAGCTGCCTGCTCCCAGGTCCTTACTTAGGAGAGCAAGCTCACAGTGAGTAGTCAGTGCTCACTGATGCCAGGGATGGAATAAATACATTTGGGAACCAGTAGCTGACTTTCAGCAAACACACAGCTGCCTACAGGCCCTGAGCGTGCAGAATGCATTGCATACCCTTGAGAAAGGGTTTTGCATAAGGAATTTTCTACATAAGGGTGTGGTAGTACGGGGATAGGTTAAGAGAACATTGTATGCTCTCTTTAATTCTCTCCTAAACATCTAAAAGTTACCCTTCCTTAGTGAGATGATGCTTTGGGTACAGGGATGATGATGATCTGAGTATGTTGAGCTATAAGGAAGTGGAAATAACATTTTTGAACAAATTACAGCTCAAAGCCTGGCGCCAGGAGTCAGACCCCATGAGCAAACCTGTGTGCATGTGTGTTTGTAAATATATGAATACATGTGTAAGTGCATGTGCGTGTATGAATTGATGGTATGATTGAATGCATGTGAGTGTATATGGTGTGCATATTTACTTGTGTGTGCATGTGTGAGAGTTTATGTGTGTGGGGGGGTGTGACTTGTATGTGTGCATGTGACAATCATGCTATCTGGCTTGGGGCAGAACACAAGACCTAGAAAGAAGGCCCTTGTAAACTGCTCAAATGCAGTGTTAATGCCCAAAGACACGGTGCTATACTAATGGATCTTCTGTGTTGCCTGCCCAAACATCATTCAAGAACTGCTCATTCATAATATCACCAGACCTGACACAGTATTTGGAAAACTTGAGTATCAGCCTTTTAAAGGCCACAGCCTTTCTTACAGAGCCTTCACTGAGTTAAGTTTTTCTGCATACCTAATAACTTAAACAACATAAGCCCAAAACAATCAAGTATTTTGCTTTAAACTAGGAAAAAAGTTCTGTTAAATACAACTGTAACAGTGAGGAAACCCTTATAACATTGGTTTTATGTGACTGCTGAACTTGGTGATTACAAAACCAAGTTGCCTCCTAAGTCACTGAATGAAAGTGGCTTCTTTTGGGACAGGTGCATCCTCACTGGAATATGCCAGGATGACACTAGGTCCTGGAAGAATATAGGTAGAATAAACATGCAAAGCTTTACCTTTTAGGTATACTTATGCTTACCAATCTAAATGCAAGCAGGTACCCAGGAATCAGGTAGCACTAGGTGTTTATAAGATGCTGATCTAGATAACCCATGTGTTGTCACTTGTTGCCCCAGGTTTTCCTAAAACTTATGGAAAGCTTTAGGGAGTGTGGAACACCTCAGGGCTGCTAAAAGGATGAGGTTTGAGAAACATAGCCTGTGAGTACTCCTGTGGAACACTCCACATTCATCACACCAACATCCAGTTGCCACTTTGCCCATACCTAGGGCCTAGACTCAGGTAGGTGGATCACAGGAATTAGTGAGATCCAGTGTGAGGACTTGAGAGGCTCACAATTTATGCACGGATGACTTTCTAGGTTCCCAAAATCACACAGGAACTTTCAAGTCCTGTGTCCTGTGCTAAAACCATGCTATTCCCTAGTCTAAAATAAGCCTTCACTGTCTCCTCCAGGTCCTTCCAACACCCTTCAAGGCAGAGGATCCCAAATGTATTTGGGATCTACTGCTCTCTCCTGAGAAACAAAATTACTGTGCCCCAGTAATTACCCAAAATTACCTTTTAAAAGCAAACAAACAGGGAGTGCTGCTTTTCCACCTCCTCCTCAATTTTCCCCAAGGCTATTATTGCCCCCATGGCTCTTCCTAGGGTTGGGAGCAGTACTGGTTCTGTCTAGTTAGGGAAACGGTGTTTTCATGCAGTTTAAAGTTATCTACACTCTCAAGGGTTTCAGCACCATCTGAAAAGAAAGTGGGCCTGCCTCTGTTGTGGTCAATGATAAAATCTACCTACTTCCTTATTCCTTACTCTTCCCAATATCTTCTATCAGGAGCCTTCCAGAATTCTAGGGCCATTTCTTTCAGCATTCAGCCAGCCAGCAAGAGTCCCTGACATCAGCTTAACAGTCACTGCACAGTGTGAAAGTCGCCAATAAGGCTGGGTTGAAAAAGTTAGTTTTCTCTAACAAGACAGGCTGCCAGGCACACAACTTCACATTTCTTGTCTCTAGGGAAAAACCCGTGTGTGCCATGTTTTTCTCCTTGTGCAGAGAAAGATTGGAAAGAGTCACTATTGGTGGCTTCCAGTGTTTCTTTCTGAATGGAAGGATGAGATGCCTGCAGCCTTTGTATGCTGAGCTCAGCTTTCTAATTCCCCACCCCTGCCCCATTCTATCGGCTGAACTAAATCCTCTTTAACCCAGGTTTTCTCTTTGTTCATTCTCTTTTAGTGGCAATTCAAGCATGCAGCAAACTGCTTGCAGCGGTAAATGCTGGTAAGCAGGATGGAGAATGTAGTCTTAAAATTTTCTTGTATGTATCCAGACTGAAAACGCAGCCAAACTCCTGTTGCATACTTTAGTAGGGGATTGTTGACTTTTCCTAGATGACTTTAATTTAAGAATATATTTATTGCCATATTAAGCTGCTTATAAAAACCACACACCACATTTTTATGTCAGACTTAGATTTTAGCAGACAACTGAATAACGAAGAGAAGAAAAGGGATCTGCACTCCCCAGCCTCACATGTGATAACAGAACACAGGTGTTTTGAGGGAATTGGGATTTTTAAGGTTCTTCCCACAGTGTCTGGTAAATGTGGATTTGCTGAACAGTCCCCTCTGTGTATCTAAGACTTCACAGGGGCCTGGGTCAGCTTCAAAACAATCCGAATGTTCATCAGGGAAACTCAGACAAGAAGTTTTTAGAAAAAGTCATTTTTCCCTATAATTGGTTTATATTGTTTTTATAACTCAGAACACAGACCCAATAAATTCAGAGGATGGGTAACTAAGCTGATGTAGAATTCGCATGTTATCCCGAGCTTGTCAGTGAAGGAGTAGGTGGTAGAATGAAGACTTTGTTATTGAAGCCCAGATTATCTGGGTCACTGCCTGTGTCTCCCTGGGGACTGGTTATATTCCCCAGTTCCTGTGACATGTAGCCAAGATCTTACTTTGATGGTAGATTATTTGAAAGCTGAAAAGTACTCAGCAGCACATAGATGAAAACAAAACAATGCAGTGGATTGAAGAACTGTCAGAAAAGCACTTACCAGACCCCAATTTCTGTAGTTCTACTTTCTGACAATGAGAAACTTAAGCAAAGGTGGGAACTTAGGTTGAATTCTGGGTTAAATGTCTGCTTGCTTCTGGAAAGGGAGACTAATGCTTGGAAAGGATGCAATGACCAAAGCAGAAAGTGCTTCTCCCAGAGTGTCCAGCATGTGTGAAGGACTTCTTTGCCTGGCACTGTCCATTGCAAACACAAAGGTTGATCAGTCGCTCCCCATATGTTACCTTCATCTGGAAAAAAAGATGTTCAGAGGAGTTCCTCTGCCAGGGAACTCCAGCTGCTACTGAGTGCGCTTTCAGAATCAGGGCTCCCCTTGGCAGGTGTGAATCCACATTCAGATAGAACACGCAGAGCCCCACATGGGTTTTCTCATCCGAGATCTCCCAGGAACAGGGTTGAGGCTTAGACATTCCTGCCCAGTGGCTTCCATGTACAGGTCTGGAAGTCTCTTGGAAGTCTGAGTCAGTGGGACACTTGTGACCCCTGAACGTCCTGTTAATGCCATCAGATCCAAGAATTTTGCAGTGAGTTTGCTGCCAGTCATTCACCAATCTACCTGGGGATCCAAGCTGTTCATTCTAAACAGCTGTCCGCATGGGACCTTTCAGGGTCCTGCTCCTGGGCAGATCTTCCAGCTAGAAGGGCAGTCTGGGGAGCCTGGGAAATGCCTGAGCTTTGGAGGCATCAAAAAAGGTGGCACCATCGTTTGGGGTGGCAGAGGCCAATGGTTCCTCTGAGACACAGTGGCATTGCTAGGCATTTGCACCTTTCTCTCCACGCCTCTTCTCCTCATCACTATTCTATCCTCCTCCAGGGATCCGCTCGGAGGCAGGACCACTTTTACAGAAGCCACCCACACACCTAGATACAGAGATCCTCCGGGATGCTAAGCCCTCAGGTGTAGAACCTTCAGGAAAAGACACTCTCCGGTGTGCCCTGCCTCCAGTTCATTCAGGGAGCTTTGACAGGTAGTCTCTGCTGTAGCTGGGCGTATCTCACCCGATCTTCCAAACTAGCCCCGGAGGGACAGAGGGACAAGCATCTCCCTTTGTCCTGTCGTTCAACAAGAAACCCAGGCATGTGGAGATGAAGGGTGGTCCTTGGGCCTCTCAGTGCCAAAACCCAGAGACACAGCGCAGAGGAACGTAGGTGACAGGGCCTCAGGAGGAGGACAGCTGAGCATAGATGGGTGTCCCTCCTCCCGAACCCCTGTCCCCTAGACCCACCGCCCCCTCAGGGGGCAGTGTCCTGTATTCCTTCCCTGCCGCGATCTCCTCTCTGAACGTCAGTTTTCTCGTCGGTGAAATGGGGATGGTGGGAACAAGCCACCCACGGGTGGAGGAGCCAAGCGGTGGCCCCCGCCCCAGCGGCTCGGGAACAGCAGAGGGGGCGGGCGGCCGGAGGGGCGGGCCGGGGCCGGGGCCGGGCCGGGGCCAGGGACGCGGCGGGCCCGGGGCGGGGGGCGGGCGCGGGGCGGGCCGGGCGGCGGCGAGACGGGCGCGCGGCGGCCGCTCCCGCGTCACTGCGCCGGTGGCGGCGGCGGGGAGATGCGGCTCGCGGCGCTGGTGGCGGCCGTGCTGCTGGCGCGGGCTCCGGCGCCGGGTAAGCGCGGGGGGCAGGCGGCGGGCAGGCGGGCAGGCGGGTGGGCGAGCTCAGCCTGCGCCGGGGAGGCCGGGGCTCGGCGCTCGGGGCTCGGGCCTGGCCCGGAGGCCCCGCCGTCTGCGGGCCGCCCCCTCCCCGCGCGTCCCCAACTCTGCGCGGCTGCGGGGCGGCCCCGGCGGGACAGGGGCGAGGTCAGCAGGACGGCGCCAGCCCTCGTGGGGGATTGTTTGCTCGAATCTCCCCCACTGTGCTGGCGGGTCAGAGCCGGCAGCAACTTCTCCCGGGCTCCCGCAGAGAGTTCCCTGGCAGCCGGGGCAGCCGCGAGGGGTGCTGCCCTCCTTGGGGTGGCAGGGACGCCGGGCACCTGGCGGGGGGCGTTGGGGGGTGGGGGGCGCGAGGCTGCAGAGATCGGTGCCCCGGGGGCCGGATGCCCCAGGCCAAAGCCCCGCGCCCCCCGTCCCATCCCCGCCCCCGCCCTCCTTGGTCTCAGGGCAGCTTCTCCCCCCCTACGCTTCTGACTTCTCTTGGGAGTTTCTGCAACTCGCCTCTAAGTTGCTGAAACGTTTCTCTTCCAAGGCTGCCGGCCTTGGGACTGGGAGAGTCAGGCCGGCTGAGATCATCATGGTAATAGACACACGGACCCGCGGCGTCCACATTTACTGGGGGTCTGTGGGCGATCCAGGATGGTGCTCCTTTATCTCCGGTAATCACACCCCTCCAAAGCAAGCGGAACTCCTGCGGGAGCTGGGAAGGCTGGTTTCTGTCCACGGCTCCCAGGTCCTTCGATGCTTTAAGGAATGGAAGTATCGCGTAATGAAGATGCTTAGCGTTAGAAGTTAGAAAAGTTTATGGGGAAGTAGAAGAGAAACTTCCCAGCCAGGGAGGAACTCAGTATAGCACCAAGTTAAGTATGGCTCTTCTATTATTTTTTTTTTTTTGGTGGTGGGGGGTTCTTTATAGGAAAACTGAGTCTTTCAAGTGATAAGATTAACATCCAAAGAGACAAGACTGTTACAGAGAATGCTAGGGTTTTATAAAGCTGGTCTGGCTAGTTTAGGGCCTTTTAGGTTGTCTTTCTGATCCTTGGCCTAGATATTGCCCATTATCTTTTCATTTCCTGTGAGCGAAAGTTCCAGGCAGAATCTAAGATCTTGGGAAACTGTTAACTTCCCATTCTCAGAAAGAACCCAGGAATTTGTTAGAATGTTTCAACTACGGGACGGAGATAGGGGAAACTGAGGTTTCCTCTTTCAAAACTAAGGCAACCGTGCATATAGTTAGGTGATTTACAAATGGACTTGATTAAGCTTGCCAGAAACCTCAGGGAGAGATTGAGGATGCTGAGTTCCACGTCCAAGACTTTAAGTCATTGGACTTGTAAGTGGGAGAGTTGGGTTTGAATCCAGGAAACCTGTCTTTGGGCTCTGAGCGTTGATTTTGTTTGTTCATTTTGTTTTGGGCTGCCCTGGATGGTGCTCAGGGCTTACTCCTGGCTCTGCACTGAGGGAATCAGGAATCACTCCTGACATGGGCCCAGGGGGGATCTTATCCCTCATGAGTACTGGGGATCAAACTCAGGTAGACTGCATGAAAGATAAGCACCTTACTCACGCTCCTATCTCTCCAGCTTCCCTGTGTTTATACATGTCCAGGCATGTGGTCTGTGTTCTGTAGCTATAAAGTTCAGTAGTTTCCCTACGGTGGTCTGACTTTAAGTGGTGGCTCTGGCATTTGAGTTGGCTTGGGTGAAAATCTGAGTATCAGGGACCTGGGCCACTTTAGTTCACCCACTATCCCCTGGTTATGGCATATGGGGCTCTCCAGAAAGTGGAGTTGCAGAGAACAACGCCCCCCCCCCCCCTTTTGCTCTGGTCACTGGCTTGTCTAATAATCAAGGAAGGTTTGACTAGGATGGGTAGTTCAGACTGCTCTAGAAACTTGTGGAATAGCTGCAGCCAGAGGAATGCTTGGTGGTACACAAACCTTCCTCCCCCGGGCTCCAGGACCTTCTAAATACTAGATACCCTCAGATAGGGAAGCCTCAGAAAGCAGCTTTGGGGGGCATTCAGACTGTGTTCAAACCAGAAAGAATTGAGAGCGAGAGTTTTAGAACTTTCAGAGTCAGCCCTGGCTGTACCCAAAGCAACACCTGGGATAATGTGGAAAGCTACAGCTTGCATAGTGCTTCCTCATAGCTCCCTCATGATCCATAGTCATGAGGAAGGGTCTCTGAACTGGGGCAATTTTCTGCCAGTTTGGGGTAGAGAAGAATATTTTTAAAAAATTTCTTTTAATGTGGGCTGGAGCGATAGCACAGCGGGTAGGGCATTTGCCTTGCACACGGGTTTGATTCCTCGTCTCTCTCGGAGAGCCCAACAAGCTACTGAGAGTATCCCGCCCACAAGGCAGAGCCTGGAAAAAGCAGTAACAACAATGGAAATGTTACTGGTGCCCGCTCAAGCAAATCAGTGAACAAGGGGAGAACAGTGACAGTGCTACAGTGCTTCTTTTAAGGTAGACAAAAACCACAACTGTTGATCCAATTCTAGAGTTGAAATTGATTAGATTAAAGAACTCCAATTAAAAGGAAATGCGCCTGCCACAGAGGCAGGGGCTGAGGGTTGGGGTGAGGATACTGGGAACATTGGTGGTGGAGAATGGGCACTGGTGGAGGGGTGGGTACTCAATCATTGTATGATTGAAACGTAAGCACGAAAGTTTGAGTCTGTAACTGTACCTCACGGTGATTCACTAAAAAAAAAAGAAGATAAATTCTAGAAAGTCACATTATAACACTGTCCCTAAAGTCAATATTACCATATTGTAGACTGAGAACTTTTAAGTGGTGTAGCACAGATGTGAGTGATCCTATCACAGTTAAAGAAGGGGAAGAAACCCAAAATGTAAATTATAAAATGGATTAATAAATGCTTTTGTTAATAAAATATATCACTATCACTATCATCCCATTGTTCATTGATTTACTCAAGTGGGCGCCAGTAATGTCTCCATTCATCCCTATCACGTGCTAGTGTAGCCCGATGGTATTTTGGGGGCTCTTTCAAGGTCAGGGGAATGAGGACCATCATTGTTACTATTTTTGGCATATCGAATACGCCATGGGTAGCTTGCCAGGCTCCGCTTTGTGGGCGGGATACTCTCCGTAACTTGCCGGGCTCTCCAAGAGGGATGGAGGCTTTTGGGGAAGCCTCTAATCACCTTTACAGGTGTTCCCAGTCAGGCATATATGTGGGCAGGATACTCTCGGTAGCCTGCCGGGTTCTCTGAGAGCAAGAACTAGACAATAAGAGGTCGCGCGACCACGTGTTTCTGGGAGCTTGGTTTTATAGTCTCTGGATCTTGGCTGTTGATGGGGTTACACAGCAATTGGTGTGTGTAACTGTTTAGCTACTGGAAGATGGGGGGTCTTGGTGGAGGAGGCCCAGTCCCGATCGGAGCAGGCTTGGAGATCTCAGCCCCAAGTCCTGCACACCTGGGTTCCTCTGCCAGTTCCTTCATGTGTGAGGCTCGTCCGAGTGTGTAGAGTGTGGTCTCAGCATGGTATGGCTGGGTCCCGGAGGTCTTCATCTGCCTGGGCTCTGCTCATGACAGAGGGAAACTCAACCCGCTCCCTCCAAGGGGCCCCGGTGAGGACAGCTAGGCGCGGGGACAGGAGACTGCATTGTTCTCCTCTAGGAGCTTGGTTTTTAGAATATATAATGCTGAAAAACTGAAAAACAGCTTGTTTTTTTTTTTTTTTTGCTTTTTGGGTCACACTTGGCAATGCACAGGGGTTACTCCTGGCTCTGTGCTCAGGAATTACTCCTGGCGGTGCTCAAGGGACCATATCGGATGCTGGGAATTGAAGCCGGGTTGGCCATGTGCAAGGCAAATGCCCTACCCGTTGTGCTATTGCTCCAGTCCCTGAAAGACAGTTTTAACCCTGAATACTTTGACACACTTTTTTTCCCCAAAAGAGAAAATTAAAAAAAAAATACTCTTTCCACCCATTACTGGGCCTGCTCGAGCAAATGGATGAACAATGGGAGGACTGTGACCGAAATAAATAAATAACTTCGGTTCTGCTTTGGGGCAGGAGTTGGGTTGGGGATGGAAACATCCAAAATATGGTGGTGAGAAGGTGTAATGGTGGGATTGGTTTTCGATTATCAAATGTAATCAAATATTATGAACTACTTCGATCATTGTATAACTGAAACCCAAGCACAAAAAATTGTAAGTCTACAACTGTACCTCATGGTGTTTCACTAATAAAAATTTAAGAAAAAAAATATTGTGAACTACTTTATAAAAATAAAATAAAATTAGAAAAACTCCAATATTAAAATCAATAAGTATTAAAAAATCCATTTTTTTGGTGAAAATTGTTATATCTCATCACAGGATTGTTAAGTCCTTGTCTAAGAATTGACTAAGCTCTTTGTTGCTAGTTGAGCCTTCTGTGTTATTCTTATTTTTTGTTGAGTTCATTTGGCTTCTTTTGTTACTTTTCCATCCAATTTGGTGTGCCCCTATTGGAATTTCAGTGTTGAGGAGTTAGGAGGTGTTGTGTATGCGGCCATGTAGTCCAGAGAATTCAGGATCCTAGGTCAGGGCCAATGAGTTGCTGTGGTGGCAGCTGTGGAATGTGGGTGTGGCTGCTGGGGCATCTAGATGTACTGGGGAGGCTGGTGGGGGCAGACTGCCCATCCTGACTCCCAAGAAGACACAGGTACCAGCGTTCTCAGCCCGTGCACTGGGATACCTGAAATTATCCGCAACTTGGCTTCTCTGCAGAGAATGTTAGTGAAGTGGTGGAGCTGAGCCTTTGGCATGGCTGTAGCTATGGGGTATGGGTGCTTTGGCAGAGTGGGTACTTGGCCCTGAGCTGGGACAGTCCCTGCCAGTTTGGGCTGGAGCAGGATCTTAGTGCTCAACCAGCCTCTCCTCTCTATTTTGCAGAAATGCAAATCAAGGGGCAAAACATTTCCATGCTTTTT